ACTTCTCTCTCTCTCTCTCTCTCTCTCTCTCTCTCTCTCTCTCTCAACATATCCAACTTTGTAAAGCATATCACCAGTAACTACAACAGAAATACTAACAATACCATTTCCGTACATGTTATTTGTACATAATTACCATCAATCACCCCACGTCCCACCCCACCTTCTCTCTCTCTCTCTCTCTCTCTCTCTCTCTCAACACATCGCATTCCACTATTGCATTCAAGCACTCTTTGCCCACCCAAGAACTCTTTGACTGCTCAATTGATGTTACATTCAAGCACTCTTTTAGCCTGCTCAATTAGTGGAACCAATGTTTTTAGAATCGCCTGGGGCAAGGAACTCCCCACTGGCTTGAGGCAAGTTATGAAGGGCAAGTCCGTGTGGAGTTGCCCAAGTAATTTACACCATGAAAAAATGTTAAAAAATACAAAAAGGGCAAAAAATAGTTAAAAATCAGTAAAAATTAGAAATAGCAATAGAAATCATTAAAAGACTATAAAAAAGATATATAAAAGACGAACTATTTCAAAATTTGACTGATACCATGAATATGTCAGAAAAAGAAGAAAAGGAAAAATAAAACACGTGATAAGAAAAGTCCCCAAATCATCTAAAAAACCTTCAACATCATTAAAAAAAACATTTTTCTACATATTTTTCAACTTTAAACATTTTTTATATTTTTTAAGTCTTTTTTTGGTGCTTTGCGAGTTGCCCATGGAATAGGCTGAGGCTGAGTTACTCGGCTGAGTTCGAGTGGACTTGGCCGAGCCACAATGGGTGGAACCAAAACCCAATACAGAGCCCAAGAGAATGGAAGGCTTTTTTTTTTCTCTGAGAATAATATGAGAATCAAAGGCTTCACTTACAGCTAGCTGTGTTGAAGAATATTGAAGAATGGTACTCACCATTTCATAAGAGGGAAGAAGCAAGAGATGACTGTCTGATAAAGAAACTAACCATTGTTTAGATAATAGATGGATTTTCCACTAAATGGCTCCGGCTAAGACCACAAAATTCTTGCTTTAGTCTAGGGACCATCCTCAGCTGAGATTAATACCATACTTTCTACCCAGTTCTAAGGGTTCTTACTCTTTACAATTTCCATGTATGTGTGCTTGTGGAAACAATTTGGACACCTTAGGCTGGATACTGTACTTTTCCACCCAAGGCCTAGAAACCATGTTAAGAATTTTATTTTTATTTTTTTTAACCCCAAAATTTGCAGACCTCTCTATACATTCTTGGCATATGAGGCGATGCGGCCGCATTTTTGAACAATGGTCTGTGCCAGGTCAAGTCGAGGTCGGGCAAAGCTGGACCTGGCCCATCTAGGTCCCCAAATCAAGTGATCAGGTCAGGGTCAACCCAACCCAGACTCAACCATAAACCCCTAGAAATAACTCTCATTACCTTTATAGACAATCCTTAATAACTGTAGTCTTAACCATCATAATTATATTGAAGAAGTTAATCTTTTTTGGGAACAGAGGAAAACAGGGTTCCCATGTAGAGATAGGGGTTTCGACGGGATTTAGGGGATAAGTAGAATTCCACATAAGTAAGACCCCATGTGAACAAGTGGCTCACAAAGCTAATCCACCTATCACTCTTTAACGGTTGTTAAGGAAAAAATAATGCTACGACTGAAATTCCATGTGCCCAAATGGGGATATTGTGTGCCCAAATTACCAATCAAACAGAAGGAAAGTTAAGCATAAATATATTCTATTGGATCAAAGATCAAAGATATTTTGAACTCAATGACTTACCTCCGGCCTTCATGCCAATCAAAACCTCCTTCAACCCCTTTATAATCTACAAGACACAGAAAAATAGTATAGGTTAGTAGTGTGATGTCGTATAGCATATCAAATCAACAACAGAATGAAATATTTGAGATCATATGAGAATTAATGGTTGATAAGTTTGGAAGAGATGATGAATTGATCACATAAAATAAGTTTCATTAAGGAATAAATGATGGAAAATGGAACTAATCATGGATATCCTAAAAAATTTAGAAGCAAATTCACAACAGAGCACAGATAGAAGCCACCAGATGCCAGAATTATGAGTTTACAAGCATGAAGCATGATTTAGCATCGACAAAAGCAAGTGGAATCCAGTATTGGAAAACTCGGTGAGTCTGACTTGGCCCCCATCCAAGTTAATCGGACTTGGCAGGCTGCTTAGTCTGGAATCAAACACATGGGCACCAGTAGAGTCCAGCTGGTTCCTAAAATTTCATTATTTCTTTGTTTGCACCCAGCTAAGTCAGCTGAGTCTCTGACAGATCGTCCAAGTCTGTCAGACCTGACTCATGCTCGGGACCATAGCAAGTCTTGACCCAAATCCTTTTTCAACATTGTTGGAATCCAGTGCTTCTACTTAGAAAATTATATGAAAAGTATGCAAACAATACTATGAACACACATCAACCATCTATTATTGATAATAGGCCATGGAGATTAGCCACAATGCAGGTGGCCAACAAGGACATTTAGCAAATGTATATCTAGCAGCATTAGTCATCAAGAATGGTAGATGCCCCTTTGAGGTAACACATAACATATATTGGATTGTGGCATGATTTCCTTTCTATTTTACTCATCTAGATATACTCTAGTAGAAAAAACTAGAATAGAAAATAAAGTGAGGCATCAAAGTGACAATTCCCAACTTTCTCTCATATTTTATGGGAACAGGATGAACCCACCTTCTTCTCATCTAGCAGAAGTATTGCAGGTTTGCTTTCTCCACTGAACTGATCCACAGTGCTACATTTGAAACATAACAATGAGAGAAGGATCAAAAGTATCGTGGTGGAAATAACCACAGATTATGATAATAAACAGTATCTCAGTCTCCACTGTCCATTGTTGAGCCTCTAGAAGTGTGTAACTACACCATATAAAGCCTGTGTATGGTATGTCAAGAACAATTCAAGACCATTCCATGGAGAGACCAAATATACGCACTCTAGATTATACATACAAAGAAGGCAGTGGTGGTGTACGCATTAATCAAATCCCTACCTATGAACAAAGTATCCATTTGAACGCCGGCAAACATAATTGACCTCAACCAGATCCCCTTCATGTGCCTCTGGTCCTCCTCCATCAACAATATCTTCAATTGGAGATAAAGCCAAAAAACAAGCTCTAATCAAGTAGCCTTTCATCAATAACATAACAGGCACTCATGTAGCTAATAAGCCCAAATTTTTCTGTAGGGCACAAGTATGTAACATAACTCAAATCAGGAAAAATCAACACAACTGTTACTCCCAAATTCAGCAAATCCATAAACTAATATAGGATGAAAATTAAATAATCAAACAATAACATGTTTATATACATTAAAACAAATACCGATAGAGACAAGCATAGAGACTATCACATTTTAAGACAAGCAAAAGAACATTACAAATCATATCATCCTAAATATGATTCAAAATAAGGAGAAATCAGAAAATCGAACTGTGGTTTATTTATTTGTGCTTCAAGAGTACACAGGTCGCTGAGATTTTTATTTTCATCACAACGATCCACTTCTTTATTGCAAAGACTCCTTAGAAACTCAGTTTAAGATGTTTCCTCATCCAACCATCCAAGGCACAACCTAATGGAATGCATAATGCAAAACTAGAATAACAATTGCGTCGTCAAAATGCTGGAGCAATCTTCAAAGAATACAGTTAATGAACTTTTACCTTGAATTATCACTCCACTGTTCAACTTCTGAGTCCTGAATTCTTCAAAGTTCAAACCCAATTCATCAGAACTATCAAATATAGCTAACAGAACCATAGTGTGTGTGCGTATGTATGTGTGTAGAGAGAGATTGATTTAAAAATCTATAACCACCATCAGCATTTGAAAGCCCCATGATGCCATGAAAGAAGCTGAATACATTTGCATAAATGACACATATACTCAGACTTATAGCACGACGCAGTAATTAAATCCAGATGACTCAGGCTCAGACTCTCTCGGGTCATTTGGACCTGGCGCCCTACCTGGTCCAAATAAAATATCTAAGACTCGGGTGAGTCTCTCCGGCTCATGGCCACCATTTGCATTTTTTTCACTGTCCCAGCTGAGTCAGACCGCCGACTCTGCCAACTCAAAGCACGTATGAACCCAATTCTGTGCTTTTAATCACTGGCATGAAATATAAATTATGAAGTTTAATCAATGCTTCGAAACCCAGGGCTAAGTTTATTACCGGATTACCTCAAGTTCTTCCATCTTTGGTAAAGGTGCAGCCATGGCAGGGTATGTATAAAGCAAACCAGCAGAGAGTCCTAATGACTCTAAAAGGGACCTCCGCGATACTCTGCACATCCTTTTAATAGCTCGAATCTTGTTAAGGCGCTCATATGATATTCTTCTGAATTTACAAAAGAAGTAAAAGATTCTACTATAATCATATTTCAAGGAACACATGGATGCAAAAAAGGGTTTGTCCATGGGCTTAATTTATTATGGTATTGACAACTGCAACAGTACACCCCATGTTTGAATCGAATGCCGACCTAATTAAACAAAACCAAAAAAAGATTGTATCTATGCTAGTTTTATAGTTTGGGTCTCAGAAAAATATAAAATAACTGTGTAACCACACCATGACCTTTTATTCAAATAATTTTGTGGTATTTTCACCTATTTAATAAACCCCTTACCCAGTCATCCCCATCATGCAATGGGAAATGTACTACTAATTTTTAAATTAATACATAATCATATCTACAAAAACCCATAAACATATTTGAGAAAGGTATGTTTATAGCAAGTTCAACAAAAATCTATAGAGTTATTCCACTCTGTTGATAACTAATATATCAAAAGCTTATAAAATTGATAGTTTTGAAAAAATTTCTGATAGTGTGCACGATAAATAAAAAGAGTTATTGATTTACAATTTTTTACTGTCAAATAACAGAAAAAAAAAGAAAATCACATCATAGAATCCTTCTATTGTAATTAGCAACGTAAGTTAAACCAAAGTCAGAAATTTTTCTGAACTCTCAAATATTTACAGTTATCTGCGACAAATGCTTTCAATTGTAGTTACATAAAAAATAAGAAAATACTGAGAAATGGGAAAAAAAGATAATTCCATTTTTTTCATTAATTATCATGACAAATAATGAAAACGAGGAAAAATTGGAAAGCATTATTGTTGCTAGAAAAAGGGGAAAAATTGAAGAGAAATTATTTCCACACCTCTGAATAACGAATAATGAATTCGTCTGGATTAGTGTTTTGGGGAACAATACCGCCATTTTTTGCTTTTAAAAAAATCCAAAGAAATGGAGGTTTTAAATGATAGAATGGGAAACATGCACCAGAGAAAACAGATAAGGTCCTTCAGTATGGAAATTTTACAAAAATACCCCAAAAACTTTGACGCCAAAATGTTCTTACGTTTTGATTGCCTTAGTTTCACTGAAGGATGTTTTGGGTATTTAAGAAAAAGGTCGTGGTTTTATAGACAACGATATAAACTCCCCTCAGGCTTTTCTTCTTCATTTATCCTCGTCTCTAATCTCTCGTTTTCTCTTTTGCCTGAAAAAACCATAAAAAAAAATAGTGGAAAATGAGAGTGGCCTCTAAGGTTATCTTCCTTTACAGAGACGCTAATGGATTTGGGACTGCAATTGCTAATTCGCTGAAACCAAACCCTAATTCTGGTTCCAAAAGAATGTAAGCTGTCTTTATCCTTCATGTTGCATCTAAAAACCCTAATTGTGATACCAAAAGTGTGAATTTTTTGGTATCAGGATTCAGAGAACCATGATCTGGGTACTGAAGGAATGTAAACTTTCTTATTTATTATTCCGCAAACAAACCCTGATTTTGTCCAAAAAAGAAGCCTTCTTTCATTTTCATCGGAACCTAATTCCTCACTCTATTACTGAGTCTATTGTAGTTCCTATTCTTTTACTATGATACTGTAAGCTTTTTTCAAGTTTTAGGTCCGCTATAGGCCCTTGATTCTGTTTCTAATGGAATGTAATCCGTTTTGCGTCAGTTTTCCTGCTAAGAAATCGTTATTATGCTACCAAAAATAAGCTTGTGGTACCAAATCCTAGTTTTTGGTTTTGAGGGGTGGAATTGAACTGAAGGTTTATTCATGATCTATTTGGAGTGATATGAGGAGCAAAACATGGAAGGTAATGCGTTCTTTAATTTGCAGAGGTTCGCCTTGCATGGGCTTGAATAGCACATAAAAATGTAGTGTTTGAAACTTTCTAGCGGTGTTTTAAACCAAGGACTTGGGTGGAGACCTGGTAGCCTGATTCATGAAACTCATCAGGTCCGAGTCTTCAGAGACTAGGCGAGCCAGAAAAAATTAACATATCTTGGGAACTAGAGTCGGCCTGTTCCCAAGTTTTTTGGTCCAGGCTCAGGCAGCTTTCCGGACTCAACCAGTTTTAAATCATTGCTTATGGTCTTTGATGGCATAAAATTTTATTTTTGGTTACACCCTGATTTGTGACATTGATACTGATTAATAGTAATGGAAAGCTGGTATTGCACTAGAATTCATGAGCTTTTAGAAATAATGTATCATACGTGTATTATGGAAACAGCATTTTATAATGGATCGTTTAGGTTTAATGGTTTGTAGACTTGTCATATTGTTTGTCATGGTGGAGTATGCCGATGAATGTTTTCGTTCTAAACAGTATAGCAAGAAATGTTATGATAACCTGACTGTTGAAGTAATTTTTTTAAATCATAGTTGTCGGGTACGGGTGCGTTCCCTGGACCGGGAGCGAGGTCGGGCCCGCGGAACCATAGATTGTTGGAAGCTCCTTGTGGTTGGGATCGTCGTCTGTACGATCCTATGTTAAGGGAGCACGATCTTTGTCACAGGGAAGCGCGATTCCATGGGGAAGGAATCGCAATAGTAAGTTTTAAGGGATCAAGAATGATGTGTGGGTTCGCAGTACTATTGGGCACAAAACTGAATCATTGCATGTGAATCAGTACCAAATAGAGAAAAAATTATATGCATTGTGTCATACACTTGAGAACCGCGGTTCGAACTTGTTGGGAACACGGATCTCAATATAAGGATCCGCGTTCCATCCAAGATTTCTAGCTGGAACCACGGAATCGAGGTTCCGGAGCGAGTTTGTGACCTTTCCTACAAGGTTCCAGCAACTATGATTTAAATATCTAATATGTATCACATACAACAGTCACCGTACAATGTATCCTTTGTTTACTCTCATGTTACATATTCTTAAATTTGATCTTTATCGATCGGAAAAGAAAATGTAGAGTGATATTTTTATGCTTAGAGATGAAAACTTTGATAACATCGGGAACTCTTTTTTTTTTTTTCTTTTCCTTTTGAAGTTGAGATTATTCTATGTAGTTTACTTACAAGTAGATGCCAATATGTGTCCAAGTTCACAGTATTGAATGTTTGTTCAATTTCATATGGATATGAGCATATGGAATGTTTGTTCATTTTCATATGGATATGAACATTGTTGTCAATGGATTGTGGCATGTTGAGTGCTTCATGGCGACTAATTACCATGGGTTTTGTTCTTTCACAATCATCACTCTACCATCTTGAACTCCCGAGTTTTTTTTCTTCTTCCCATAACCATCTTGTACACTTTTATCTATTATGCTCCTTGATCTATAGAAAATCGTCATTTGATCTGTCATTGGAGAGGTATGGAATACATGATACTAAGGCTTCAGGCAATATCATTGACTTTGTTGATGCCCAAGGTGCAACCCAGGTACAATTCCCTTTTTAATGTTAAGCAGTTACTAGGAAGATTTTGACTATTCACAATTTGACTGTTTGCTCCCATGGTAAATCCATTTTGTATGTGTAATTCATTCAAGTGCTGTATTTTTGATAGATTGCCAATTCAACATCCTATCGCTGATCAAATGGACTGGTTAATATCATAGGCCTTGAATGGAAAAAATGAGAGTCATTTTTATTATGGTGTCAAAAAATTAAAGAAAAGAAGGAAGAGTATGAATAAGTATATTATTTTATGGATTGGGTTCTTGAAACTCATCCTATGAGATGATGGATGGCGATGGAGGGAGAGTCAGAAAACTGCAATCTATTGCTTAATGGCATCCTGAATTGTTTCTGAAATAATCCCAAGTCCCAACATGGATGATATCCTTGACATGGGCATCAGTTTCAAGTTTTTCCTTGATGTTATCCTTTATAAACACCATGCTTCTTCACTGAATAAACCAATCTTCAGAGAAAACTCAGCATCCAAAATACTTGTTAATTATTGTTTATTCTTCCTTTCAAAGGTTACCATATTGCTCATGCAAAACTATGAGCCCCCAATTGCTGGCTGTGCTGTGAATGAAGTTCTGAAATCCATCACACAAGAGTCCGGTACCAATAGGCCTTTGCTCATGCTTCCCTACATTGTATCATCATCGAAACTGGAGCAGAAGGTCAGAAATCTAGGGAAAATCAGTAGGAATTTCCCTCTCTATGGTATTAAAATTGGGCCGGACACTGACTCCATTGCTTCAATGGTTGATGGGTTACCTAAACCACCAAGCACATTGCCAATTCACGATGAGATACTGGCTTGTCTCCTTCAATTTGTGCGTGTTTTGAGACTGGAAACTGTGTTTCTTGTTGCACCAACTAGTGGATCCAATACGGCAGCAAAACAGGAGCGTGAGGTATTTACGACCTTGCCACGGCCTTTTCATCTATTTGTCATCCTCTTTCTTGTTGGCAGTGTTAGTGGTGTTGTCTTTTTCATTAGAATCATTGCAACTACTATTTTTCTGATAATGTATTATGTCGTTATCATAATCATCATCATTATCATTATTGTTATTATTATTAATGTGTTTATGAAAGGACACGTGTGACCTAGCCGGAGTATATAATAATTGTTTTTCCTTTCTTGTTCAATTCTTTTTCTTTTCTTCATAGTCTAGATCACTTACAAGTAGTCATTTTACAATATAATAACTTCAAGTAAAATAAAAAAAAGAATACGAAGGATCTCAAGAACTTGAAGCTATTCAAAACGTTTTTTTCAATAACAAAGAAAAGACAACCTATGCTCGGGAATAAAAGATATAATAAATAAATATGGAAGAAACAAAAGATAGTACCGGAGATTACCTCAACCGGGCTTAGTACACCCCTCGCCGAGTCTCCTCCTTTCGATGGTGCTCGAGATCTTTGATCGGTCTCTTGATTTCTTATTTTTATGGCAAAAATCCAAATAATGCACATGGATCCCAATCTAGAACCACCCACCTAAAGCCTCAATGCTTAAGCCTAATTCAAGCCCTTTGGCTTGATCCTTATGAGAAATAGAAATCAAGAAAGGAGGGAGAAAACTACTAGCTAGGGATGATCCTTTTGCTGCCTACAAAATCACATAATCAAAACCTAGTTTGATTTAGAACCCATGAGAGAGATTCAAGCTTAACCTAGCCTAGCTTGGGCGTACCCCCCTTAGGATAGTTTGTGAGAGAGAGAGAGAGAGAGGTAGGCTGAGGTGGGGTGTGACCCCTTAGGATTCTTGGAGAGAGAGAGAGAGTAACCTATGTGGGGCGTGCTCCTTAGAGAGGCTAGAGAGAGAGAGATTCTATTTTAGAGAGATAAGATAGTAGAGACAAGGGAGGAGAATGATCCCTTTTATAGATTTTTTATGCATTAGGGTTTGCCATAAAATCGTAGGAGCAAATCTTGACCGTCAATCTAAGGAGACTTGTGGGGTGGAGATGTGAATCATCCATTCCCTCAATCCACCATCAAGATGCTAAGGAAGGTGCTAGAACCTTATCCTCCCCTTCCTTAACTTATTCCCATCAAATAAGTTAAATAAAGAAAATATTTCTTTACTTTCTATAATAGTCAATATTCATTCCTTATTTCTCAATTAAACCTTCTTGATTCTCAAGATTTTCCAAAACCACATATTTTATTCCTTTATTGCAAGTAGGCTTCTCCCCACAAAAGGAAAGCTATCTAGCATGAGATGTCTCTCACAATTTTTAGCAAGAAAAGACAATCCCCTATGGGTGGAGCATACCACACTTTGGTGGCCACTCATGAGCCCCACCCAATTATCCCATGTGATTTAAATGGACCTCCAATAATTATGAAGGGTCCCACATATTTTAGAAACAATAAAAAATTGACTTTTAGATTTTTCAAATCTTTAAAAATGAATTTCTCTTGATTTATAAATCCAAATGACAAAATTAAAATATCAAAAGATTCATAAAAATTCAACTAAACATTCTAAAAATAAAATAACATAGAATTAATTAAATTAAATTAATTTTGATGAGAATTGGATCCGAATAGGTCTAGGATTAGCCAGCGCATAGGAGCACTCTACCTTCAACTGTGGACCACGATCCACACTAGCTTTCTCAAACTGACCCAGCAGTTCCAAAGACCCACAGTCCACTGCAGAGGCTCATGATTGGATCGCCAATGTCAATCAATGGGCTAAGGGACGTTATCCCAGTCCGTGGATTTCAGGTTCTCCCTTAGAGACAAATCATGATCCGCCAGACCATGATGCAACAATGATTCTATGGTGCATAGAGGTAATCTCTCGCATATGTACATGCTTCATCTGTAATGGGGACTTACTATATCAGTACAATTATCTATGTACATGCTCTGTGATGAGACAATGATGAGGTTTTAGTCCTGTCTTTATAGACTATTCATCACACACAAGGGTCACACAGTCCCTCGACTCTCATCCGGGTATGCTCTGACCTCAGTAAGGGCTAACCCACTAAACCCTCATCGGTTTCATCTCTATGCCCATGTACCTTGGGTTTTTCCAACTCGGCTGGCCTAACACGTCGAGCTTAGTCCAAGTATCGGCAAATTGCATTTGCCTAGTATGGTTCACAAGAGGACTACACTCCTACTGAGTTTATGTTTCACTATATACAACGCTCATACAAGCTCGCATAAGGCCTTTGAAGGCCATATAAATCCAACATCTCCCACTTGACCTTTGGAGGCCTTACAATATCTCTTTCTCACGTTCTCATTCCCCAATTACAATATCTCTCTCAAGCATTTTTACTTTTTCTTTCTTATTACATTTAATCATAGCTTTCGCCATCAATCATTTCACAAAAGATTTAGGGAGGCAGCGCCTTTTTCTCTTTGCTGCTCGGATCTCATCCCGAACATGGTCATAGTCCATCTTTCATGTCGCATCGCGAATCATGAACCTGTTGTCGCAGAAGATCATCACGTACCCTCATTGCATGGGGTCGTATCTTCATGGGCTTAAAGCAATTATTCAATCAAGTTGCTCCCTTCTGTAGCCATACAACTAGCGCCACGCATCCGGGTTCTATGGGTGAACAACAATTTGTTGTTCTAGCTCGCCCATCAAACACAAGCAGGTGCTCCCACTGGAATATTGAGTTCATCTGGATCTTTCATGATAGAGTACATGTATATCTGAATATCCAAGCAACTAAAAAGAATTGTGGGATTGTAGCAGCTCCCACTCAATTATTGCACATATAACATATACATTCTTAGCATTCTTATGCCTATATCAAGAGGTAGTATAACAAGTCTTATGCAATAAGTAATTCAATACCAATTGGTTTCACAATATGCAAAACCTATGTGAACCACAAAGGTTCATCCATACCAGTCTTCTTGGTAGTAAATTCATACAAACCAAGTTATCTAATTAACACAACATGTGTCAAGGAAGCCTAGCAAGATGGCATTCCTACAACATTCCCTATGGTTCAAGGTCTTAGGTAATCGAGGATTTTAAATAACTAAAAAAAAACATGGGTCAAGGCATTTGGGTATTTAAAAACTAGTGCATGAATAAATGACAGTTTTCTTTCAAGTTTATAAATACCTTCAAGACAATATTTTTCTCTTTAATCAAAAGGCTTTTGACTTGGTATATATACATGCACAAGCAATAGTTAGATAATAGTATGGCGGTGTAGAATGATTTTTCATAAAGACTTAGTGGACCTTGCAAGACTGTGGGTTTTCTCAAAACCATATTAATAGACTTAGGTTTTTCTTAACTCATCCAATTCAATTTTAATACGTGCCAAAAATCATTTTACCGCATTTACTTTTAAGTTCTACCAAGTCAAGTTTATGGCCACAAAAACAAATCATAAAGACTATCCTATAATTTTATCCAAAATAAAACTTGACTAAAGAATAGTTATCAAAATCTTGACAAAATATTTCTTATTGGCAATTATAGAGACTTTATCAAACGATCATCATCACATGCAACTCATCATAAAACTAGACATTAGAGGGACGATGGTCACTTAGACGAAGTTCCATCAGAACACTCCCTTCATGCTTACATATTTGAATGAGCTAAACCCATCTCTCGTGTTTCGTACTTAGGCTCAAAGCCCTTGATCAAATCGTATTTCCATGTGTATCACTACCTTAAGTAGTTCATGATCAAGCACAAGGAGGCCCAAAAACACAAGGTATCCATGAACTGGCTCTTTCAGATTTGTTAGCACCTATCACTTAATGTCAATATATGCCATAAAAAAACAAATAGCCAAAATATAGCCAAAAAAGTGTATAAAACATAAAATAAAAGGTTATTGAATCCTCTTTCCCTATATGATCTTACCATGTAAATTGAGATAGATTTCATACCTTAAAACCATGTAGTGCTGTACCTTGGCTTTCTTGATTGTTTGCTTTTTTTTGTTGACCAGCTTTTGTAATCTTGGAAGAGCACGCAACTGATGGATAATTTATTGGTCATCGGTTTCACATGTCACGAAGTGTCCATCTTTTCGGTACTTGGATTCTTCCTTTTTCACATAGTGAAGAGAGACTCTTTTTCATCCCATCATTCCAAATACCACAAATTTGATTCTCGCACTGATCTTTAGTGTTTCTATGTTGTCACCAAGTCTCTCTATATATCCATTCATTTTGAAGAAACCAATATGTTTTTATAGGTATTGTTTTCTTCTTCTTTTTGCTATTCCCAGATCGAACATTCTTAACATAGAGTGTCATATCTCACCAACTTTGTATAATTTCTCTCTGAAGTTTTATTATTATAATCCATACTCATGGCGCACTATAAAACTTTTAAATGAGCCCTAAAAAGATCTCCATTACGAGGAATCCAAAGATGTGCTTTAACATACCACATCTTTTAATTTATTGCAAAATAGAACATAAGCAACCCATGATAAAACCATGATATCTCTCAACTCATAAAGAGTTTATCTTTGAATCCTTTTGAGTATTGAAATAGACTAAAAAATATAAAATAGTGCTTAGTTCCATTGCTAAATCACACCATTTAGTGGGTCTATGATTTAGTGACAATCTCGTTACCATACAATTTTCTCAGCAGAAAATCAAGTTGCGTACCTCTCAATAAAATATTAGTTTCTCTCAATTCACAAAGGATTTCTTCCTAGAATCTTTTCTTTTGAAAATTAGACTCAAAGCCAAAGCATAAAATCTTGGTGTGAATTCCAAATAATATTTTTCTTTAGATAAATAAATAAGTGACATTCATATCACAAAATAAATCATACTGTAGAATTTCAGGATGAACACTATCTAGTAAAAATGTATTTTCTCCCTACCCTCATGGAGTTTCCCTTTAAAATCAATTTTGTTTGAAAGTAGACACAAAATTGTAACATATATGTTTCCACAAGCCTCATATCACTCTGTTAAGTAGGCTTGATAAATATGATTATTCATGTCTCAATGAAGAGCACACCAAACTACTGAAAATTCAGGATGACCTCTCTTCAATAAATTTTTTTTATTCCTCTCTTCCCATAGATATTTCTCTCTCAAATAAATTTTATTAGAAACTAGACTCAAAATGGAAATCTAAAAACTTGGTGTGGGCCTTAAAACATTATGTTAATAATGGAAATAAAATCATGACTTTCAAGCATTGAAACAATTTTCGTTGAAGAAAACAGTATTTGTGCACTTTTCAATAAAATGATTATATCTTTCAAACCATAAGGATTATGTTCATGAAACTATTTTTGTTTGAAAGTAGGCTCAATTTGATGACTTACAATCAAATTTTAGCTAAAAATAAAATCACATGATTGGTGGAAAAATTCATGGAACTCAATAGACAGTGCCTGAGTTTTGCAATGTCAGAATTGACACCCTTCATTGATGAGGCCATAACTCTCAATTCCCCCAGGATCTCCCACTGAAATTTTGCAGGTGGATTCTACTCTCAAAAACACATAATATCATTGAAGTATGCAATATAAAAATAACTCATTATCTTCTTCATATCACTACTCCAAAATAGTACAGAATACCCATTCTGCAGAGTGCATTTTTTGGTGTTTGAATATTCCAATAATTCTTAACCGGAGGTATATTACTTGACCACAAAGGCCATTAGCTTTCTTATATCTCATTCCTAAGCTAGATCTAGACTCAAATAAAGAGAAAATACCACTAATGGGAACAAGTATCGATAGCTCTGATACCAATAAAAGGACACGTGTAATTTAGCTGGAGTGTATAATAATTTTTTCCTTTTTTTTCAATTCTTTTTCTTTTCTTCACAGTCTAGATCACTTACAAGTAGTCCTTTTACAATATAATAACTTCAAATAAAATAAAATAAAATAATACAATAGGATCTCAAGAATTTGAAGCCATTCAAACCCTTTTTTTCAATAACAAAGAAAAGACAACCTATGCTCGAGAATAAAAGATATAATAAATAAATATGGAAGAAACAAAAGTGGGTGCCGGAGATTACCTCAACCGGGGGTACACCCCACGCCGAATCTCCTCCTTCCGATGGTGCTCGGGATCTTTGATCGGTCACTTGATTTCTCCTTCTTATGGCAAAAACCCAAGCAATGCACATGGATCCGGATCTAGAACCACCCACCTTAAGCCTCAATAGGCCTAATTCAAGCCCCTTGGCTTGATCCTTATGAGAGATGGAAATCAAGAAATGAGGGAGAAAACTACTAGCTAGGGATGATCCTTTTGCTACCCACAAAATCACATAACCAAAACCTATCTTGATTTAGAACCCATGAGAGAGATTCAAGCTTATCCTAGCCTAGCTTGGGCGTGCCCCCGTTAGGATAGTTTGTGTGAGAGAGAGAGAGAGGTAGGCTAAGGTGGGGCGTGCCCCTTAGGTTTCTTGGAGAGAGAGAGAGAGAGAGAGATTCTATTTTAGAGAGAGAAGAGAGAATAAGTAAGAGGTGTAGAGACAAGGGAGGAGAATAATCCTTTTTATAAATTTTTTATATATTAGGGTTTGCCATAAAATCGTAGGAGCAAATCTTGACCGTCAATCTAAAGAAACTTATGGGGTGAGAGATGTGAGCCATCCACTCCCTAGATTTACCATCAAGATGCTAAGGAAGGTGTTAGAACCTTATCCTCCCTTTTTTAAACTTATTCTTATCAAATAAGTTTCATAAGAAAAATATTTCTTTACTTTCTCTAATAGTAAATGTTCATTATTTATTTCTCAGTCAAAGCTTCTTGATTCTCAAGATTTTCTAAAACCACATATTTCATTCTTTTATTGCAAGTAGGCTTCTCTCCACAAAAGGAAAGCCAACTAGCATGAGATGCCCATCACAATTTTTAGTAAGAAAAGGCAATCCCCTATGGGTGGGGTGTGCCACCCTTTGTTGGCCACCCATAACCCCACCCAATTATTCCATGTGATTTAAATGGGCCTCCAATAATTATAAAGGGTCCCACATATTTTAGAAACAATAAAAAATTGATTTTTAGATTTTTCAAACCTCTTAGTTTATATAAAACTTTAGACATGAATTTCTCTTGATTTGTATATCCGAATGACAAAATTAAAATATCAGAAGATTCATAAAAATTCAAATAAATATTGTAAAAATAAAATAATATAAAATTAATTAAATTAAATGAATTTTGATGGGAATCTGATCCGAATAAGTCTAGGATTTAATCAACGCATAGGAGCACTCTACCTTCAACTGTGGACCACGATCCACACTTGCTTTCTCAAACTGACCCAATAGTTCCCATGACCCACAGTCCACTGCAGGGGCTCATGATTGGATCGCCAAAGTCAATCAATGGGCTAAGAGACGTAATCCCAGTATGTGGATTTTAGGTTCTCCCTAGAGACAAACCATGATCCGTCAGACCATGATGCAACCATGACTCTATGGTTCATAGGGGTAATCTCTCGCATATGTACACGCTTCATCTTTAATGGTGAATTACTATATCAGTACAGTTACCTATGTACATGCCATGTGATGACCTGTCTTTATAGATTATTCATCACACACAAGGGTCACACAGTCCCTCGGTTCTCATCCAGGCATACTCCGACTTCATCAAGGGCTAACGTACTATACCTTCATTGGTTTCATCTCTATGTCCAGGTGCCTTAGGTTTTTCCAACTCGGCTGGCTGGCCTAGCATGTCGAGCCTAGTCCGAGTATCGGCAAATTGCATGTGCCTAGTATGGTCCATAAGAGGACCATACTGTCACGACCCCTCCCCCGAGCCCTAAACCATACGAGCCTGCAGCAGCAGGGTGCAGGACCGCGACGTGAGGTGGCGAACATCACTCAGGTAGGAGTGACTCAATCGTATAAAAACGCGAAATCAAGAGCAAACTATGAAAGTAAAACTAAAATCTACACATAAAGACTGATATCATTCCAAAAGAACAATCATTTCCATTACATTAGGTATCCAAAAGTTCTTACAATTTCTTCAAGGCACTAATGGCCAAAAAATACAAGGTGTAAAGTAACCGTCACAGTGGTAAGACCACCAAAAACATACTATAGGGAGCTTCGGAAGACGGCTCTTCAGACTTCAAGCTTCGACCACCCGAACACAACACAACTACCCGCCTTCAGTTCAGAGACTAACACTTTCTCTCTACAATCACGCAAATGAGATGGAATGTCTCGTACGGTTTAGGGCTCGGGGGCAGGGTCGTGACCCACACTCCCACTGAGTTTATGTTTCACTATGTACAATGCTCATACAAGCTCTCATAAGGCCTTTAAAAGCCACATAAACCCAACAATTTATGTTGTCTTTTAATAAAATAACTGTAGTTTACAATGGAATCAAGAGAAAGATCCCAACCTTTTCGAAAAGATAACTAGTGCATTACCTATACAGAAATATATCTTGAGAAGCATAGAACAATTTTGAAATCGCTTTGATTGCTTTGATCGGCCGGGTCATTAGCAACTTGTGACCTTTTACATATGGTCGGTCATTCAAGTTTTTGGTTATAAAGAGTATATATTAATTACTATATCTTTAATAGATTGTTGTTCTAAAACCGGGACAGTTATGGATGATTCCCAATCTGGATATGCAATTTTTTAATCATTGCTTTAAACAATCTTGAGCGCCCATCCATTCCCATTTTTTATCAGTATATCTCAATTTCAGTTCCATTTGGGTTTTTTCATTTTTCGTGATATTTTGTAGAATTTTCAGAATTGAGCGAACACAGGGATTTATATCGATTCCAGGTTTTAACGCCCAACATTTCGACCTTTTGTTCCAAGTTTGATCAATTTATCTTGATAATAATTCCATCTTTATAATTTCATCTCGTGATTCATGGTCTTTTATGGAATTATTAGAATATTGAGATTTTATTTGAAGTAGTTTCTTAAATGGACAAGCTTTCAACTTAGGCATCTACCCCACTTGGAAAAGGCAAAAAAATTTACTGAACTGATGGTTTTGTTCCTCAGGTATTATCTGAGCTTGGAGAGTTCTTGGCGAGCCGGGTTGGTCTGAGCTTTAGCAAAGAATGTGTTGAGGATGATAGGGTAGAGAAGGCAAATGCTTCCAAAGAGGATTGGCGTGCTTTATACGGTTAATTTTTCTTTTTCTTTTTTTTTTGGGTACTTTTCTTTTTTGGCTGAACTAATTGATCTCTCTCTTGTTAAGTAAATCATTTTTGGATTTAAATTAAGAGCCGGTCGGCTGCCTGGAAAAAGAAATCTGTAAATTTCTAAGGAGAGAGATTATTGGGGGTTGCAGGGATAGAAGGGGTTAAGGGGGCAGAGAGATGATTGGGGTTGAAGGAGATTCATTTTCAAGAAAAAAAAAAAAATTAACTTATTTAGTTAAAATTTTTATATAAGATTGTAACCTTATTTGTAGAAATAAGGTTGCATCAATCTACACCATCCATTTTATTTAGATAGTATAAATTAGATACTTTTTAAAAGATATATTATGTATTGATATTGTCTTAAAAGATATGTCAAAATTACACCATTCAAATAAAATAGATGGTATAAAACATCACAATGTTATTTTATAAATAAAATTATGACCTTAAACAAACTGCACTAGTAGTTAAAACACTTTTTTCCCAAAAATGAAGTAAAAAGGGAATTTCAGAAAGATTTCTCCCAATTTGGACACCAATTATAAAAATAACTGATGCCTCATTTTTAGGGAAGAATATCTTGGAAATTATTGTTCAATGCCTGAATGGACCCAATAATTTATTATGTTTTCTCTAATAGAGAGAGAGAAGAATGAGAGCGGGACTAAAAAGAGAGGTATCCTACCCTGAAGTTCCCACCTCCTTAGAGCATGTTTGGATATGTAGTTTTAGTATAAGAAATTTTATGATGGCTTGAAAGTATATTTCCATCCCAAATTATGAAATTAAAATTATAAATATAATACTAATCAAGTAGAATTATAAATATTCAAAAATATTGAAAATAGATGGTCAGATGACATGCTAAATGTGCATTATTTTTAAGACTTGAATTCTTCTTTTCTTTGTGTCTATACATCTCAATGTCAAGGTACTCTTAAAGAATTTACCAACTGGAGGATTTTGAGGTACTAACTTACTTCCATGACACCTGAAACAAATTTTATCCTTCTGTATAATATTATGTAGGTGTTTGGTAGGTGTCCAGTGTTATATATGATATATTCTGGTTAGTTGTTTGGTTGATATATTTCGGAAGGGTGTTTGCAAATTGTCCACAGAATAATCGGAGTGGTAGGTTCACTTCCTCTCTCTCTCTGCCACCGTCAAATCAATCAGTGGGCCGTGCTAGACATCTGAACATAATATTTACATGGATAGTTGAAAAAAAAATGGATTTCAAATTCTAAATATAGTTTATAGTTTACATTATAACAAATTAAGATTTCAAGTTCTAAATATAGTGTATATTATAACAAAATTATTTAGACCGGATCCGGTTTCTATGCAGCCAAACCCGCATATGTAGAAATGTGGGACTCTTAATAAATTTATTTTTGAAATGGATTTTAAGTCTTAATTTGTAATAATATGTAATCTCTAACATAGAGATCATGAATATGAAAAAATAAATATAACTTTAAAAATTAAAAATAATAATTTTATTTAGAACACATTTGGATGGTTAGTTTCCATTGTTTTTAAATGGAACACCTACTTGCATCCATCTTTAAAATGGATGCTTTACACTTTTTAGATTGCATATGTAGAAATGCAGTCCAGCCCGTATGAAACAATTGTCCATCTAGGCCGTCCATTTCACCATAAAAATAAATGTTCATATATCCACAAAATCTGTACTACGTTTTTAGTTTCAAAGTTTATTATCGGTGTTGAAAATTGATTTTAGAGCATCTTGAGGATTTATATTGCCGAAAGTGATGAGGATTTAAGATGAAGCTTTATAGAAACTTCATCCAATATATGTTGCTCCCACCAGCAACGAAGTAAAATAAGAAAAGCACAAGCATTCCCATTAATAAATGCCAAATAATTCTATAGAAATGATGTATTGTTCCCAATCAAAACCAAATTCAGAGTACTTTTAGGACGTGTTTGATAATAAGAAGTTAGAAGAGGAAGAAGGAACTTTACCTATTGTTGTTCATGTTGATATGTGTTTGATAAAAAGTGGAAGATAATTTGAGAACTTCCTTTTATTGTTGAAGTTCCCACCTTTTAGGCTTGAGTAAAGT